TCAGCAGCTCTATCATTCAATTCAGTTCTGATCTGGGAGAAGATATGTTATATTGGAAGATCTTTTATCATGTACATATGTGATGTTTTTCCCTCAAAAGTATGGCCATCCTTTGTCATTGCTAATATAGGGGGACTCCTTTGTTGGCAAGAAGCATTGAAATGACAGAACAATAGGAAAAAAACCATATTCTATTTAACAACTTTACAGGAATTTTTGGCTCATGGCCTCAGCAACGTGATTCCTTCATTTTTCTTTTGCATACCAAGTGCTGCAGCGATGGGACGGTCGGCACTTCTATACAGTACGGGCGCCAAAACACAGGTAATGGGTTAGCGTGAAGCACAAGGAGAATTAAGGCTATGATACTGTTCACTGGAACTTGTACTGATTTATCTGTTGTATTTCCCCAGTCTCCCTTTCCCTCTGTCCTGGGAAATGACTGCCCTGTCATTTTTAACAGTCTGCATGGAATTACATCTGATCAGTAGCTGTCTTGCTAGAAAAGTTAATGGTTCCACTCACTCATTTTTACCTGTTTAATTCAATATAAACTCTAACATCTATGGCAGTAATGAGGAATCGTGTTTTCAGACTGCAGGAAACTACACAAAACCCCTTTCAATTTTATATTAATTTGTTATCACTGGAACAAAAGTGCCCTCTAATGGCGTTTAATGGATTTAATGGTAGAGGCTAAACTGAAGTTTTAGTAAAAGGTGAAAGTAACCTTGAGACCTGCTCTCAAAAAACCTAAGCAATCTCCCAACTTCTACCTTGTGACATGGTGTACGTGTCTGTCCCTCAGCATTCACTGATCCCACAGCAATGACAGACTTTTGAGGACTTTTTTGGGCTATTTCTTACTGCTGGAAGCCAATCCCGGAAGTTCTTATTGCAGTAACTCAGAAAAGAGGAACGGCAATTTATGAAAATTATAACTGTGACTCTGAAAGGCTGTTACCTGACAAAACCATGCCCATGAACAGAGAAGCGGCAAGCTGCTCGTCTGTGACCTTGGCATATGATGTCACCACATGGGCCACTGCAAATGGGACACCCTTGGGACAACCCCCTGAGCATTGCCTGTATCTCCTTCTTCTGAAACTCAAGGGTCCATCGGTCGCATCCTGCCATATAAATGTTATGTTTTTTGGTTTGTTGTTATTGTCTTTTTATAACCGTTGCTCCTGTCTGTGTAAAGGTCATTAATTACAAGGAAAAGGGTAATGTGGTACAAATGACAGGGCTAAGCACAGTCTGTACTGTTTCTTCTTGACCATGTCCTGAAACTATTTCTCATGCAGATACCACAATACTAAGAAATTTTATAGGGCTTTATTTCAAGAGTCTGCATGTTAATTACTTGCTAATTAGCCCACACAGTACTCTGAACTTAATTAATCATAATGAATAATTTATCTAATAATCATATTTAAAAGCATTTATATGCAAATAATTCAGCTACCACTTTGCTATTAGCTATTTCATACCATTGGGTTGGACTCAATGTCATACCATGTACCCTCATCCTCACAGACATCCTCTGCTGTTAACTGTTCACATATTGTCTGTACAAGCCACAGTTGTACTGCATCATGCCTTTTCCAAGGAAGCTTCAGGGTAACCTGGACATCTATATGGGTAAACTGAAGGCATATTTGAGCACTTTCGATCTGGTACATGTAGGCAAAGGCCTTGAAGGTTGTTCAGTATATGAAATGGAAAAAGAAACCACCATGGTTTGATGTCAAGGTAGGAAGTACAGGGTAAAAATAACATCTGCTTGGTTTGTCCATCAGTTTCACAGTATAGTATAGCCTGCATCCAAAAGTTAGTGTGTGGCTGTGCATTAACACTATGGAAGTACTTCAATAGACATAAAATTGTCTCTCCTGCCTTCTTTTTTGAAAGCAGCACATCCATTCAAGCCTTCACTTTTGGGGCTGTCTTGGAAAAATATAGATATGAGAGCACGAGGGCTTGGTTTGACTGCATAGAGAGAAGTCAGTACGGCATAAGTCATGAAAGAAATGTGAAGAGCCTTTCAGGGGCTCAGAAAGGCTTTTTTTCTCCAAAGTCTATACCTGGGATTCAGTGATGTAATTTATTCTTCAGTGATATCTCTTCCTGTGAGAAAACAGAAGTGATGGTCTGTAGAAGTGTCCTTCAAATAGAAGCGACATTTTTATTTTTTTTTTTTAAGGCAGAAAGAGGGAAAAGTTTCTTGTGACTTTACTAGCAGGTTTTCTGTCCCTTTTTCTGTAAACACTCTATCTTTCTTGATAGTATTTTTAAGTACACCACAGCTTTAATTTTCTAGTGTTTTAACAACTTGTCTGGTTTTGTTTTTAACAACTTGTCTCTTAAAATGAAACCTAATTATTTTAGTAAAGAAACATATTAACAATATAAAAATAAAGTGAGCATCTGTCTACTTATCATGGAAAACCTTCTGTGAATCTGGACTGTGTCTTAACGAGACCAGAAGTACTCTACTTTGTGAACAGTCAGAATGGAATAGGAGACTGCAATTTTACTGTAGTTTTCCATTAGATTAATATAATATAATATGATTAAAAATATAATTCTCAGACCATATATTTGGATTCATTACACCTGAATTAATTATTATTTTTAATATATATATTAAAAAATGTTCCTACATTTTATAAAGTCAAGTCCACTGATACTAACATTAAATCATTGGTGGTTTCTGACTAAAGACAATAGTTTCCTTTCATTGTTGATCCCAGTAAAAGAATTTAGAAACCTCTTGTGCAAAAACAATGACCCAGTTCTCCACGTGTAAGTTTTGCTCAGTGATATGACGGATCTATGATTCAGTGCAACATGGGGTGCATGGCTATAAATGGTACAGAATGGCAGTGGGTGCTGCCAAACTTCTGGGATGAGATATTGCTCACACACGCTCCACTTAATAACCAAGTGTGTAAGTGATGCTACAGTCTTGGTCTCTGTGCTGGCAGCAGGATCAGGCACAGATACTGAGATCTCTTACCGTGTTTTCACTGTAGTTGGCTGAAGGTAATCACCAAAGATTAAAACCAAAATTATATGCATCTGCAATCCATACATACATTAATAGCTAACCTCTTCACCATCCCCCTTCTTGGCTCTGTCTACAATATTTGATAATTAGTGCTTTTCACAGTTTTGTTGTTGCTTTTATTAGACTCAATCACCTGTTCTTATTTGTTTTAGGTGGCTTGCCTTATCTCTTGTGCATTAATTCTTGTGGTCATCTATGCAATTGGACCTATGCTGTACTGGCTGCCTATGGTACGGTACTTATCTTCTTTAAAGATTACGACTAACATTTTCTAATGACTTAATTTCTTTCAGGGAAAGACATTAGTACTACCTCTAAAACAACTCTAATTAATTGCAGTGGGAGGAAGAATGGTAAGGGCACAGCAAGTTTCAAAATCATAAAATACAGGGATGACAACACGATACATGTAGATTTTACACATATATAGACTATCACATATTTATATAATAAAGCATTTCTCCTTAACTTGCTTTTGGCACATAGTTTATGAAAAATACAAATCCAGATTGCTGTGGATTTGTAAACTGATGAAGTGTGGTAGAAATTAATGAAGATCCATAATTTTCCTCCAATTATGCATATGCTGTATGACTTTGCTTTTCAAATAAATAAATTGATAGACACAAATGATAGTAGATAGTGATCTAAGCTTAATTACAGAAAGATTATGAAATATTCTTATATCTCTGTCACAGAATACATCTTCTACACGAAGACTCTGTAAAGCAACATGATGTGTTTTCATATAAACTGTATCTAGGTTTTGGTATTTGTCCTGGTTTTGGCTGGGATGGAGTTAATTTTTTTCCTAGTAGCTAGTGCAGTGCTGTGTCTTGGATTTAGCATGAGAACAATGTTGATAACACACTGATGTTTCAGTTGTTGCTAAGGAGTGCTCACACTAAGTTAAGGACTTTTCAGCTTCTCATGGTCTACCAACTGAGAAGGCTGGGGAGGGGGCCTCAAGAAGGTGAGAGGGGGCACAGCCAGGACAGCTGACCCAAAGTGGCCAAAGGGATATTCCATACCATATGTCGTCATGCTCAGTATATAAAGTAGGGGAAAGCTGATGGGGAAGGGGGGAGGGAGGGGGTGGCACTGCTCAGGAACTGACTGAGCATTGGTTGGTGCGTGGTGAGCAACTACATTGTGCGCAATTTGTTTTGTATAATCTATTTTATTAATATTATTACTGTTATTTAGTTTTATTTCAATATTAAACTTTTCTTATCTCAACCCACAAGTTTTCTCACTTTTACTCTTCTGATTCTCTCCCCCATCCCACGTGGTGAGAGGGAGTGAGTGAGCGGCTGTATGGTGCTCAGTTGGGGGCTGGGATTAAACCATGATAGTATTACAAATTAACAGTTAATTTTAACTAGAGGCATGCTGAAGACACAAAATACAGCTCCAAAATTATTGATAATTCTGCCATGTTGTATATGACACTGTAGTTCAACTGTATTTTTAAATTTACTTTGTGATATTATTTACAGCGTCACATGAAGGTTTTCACTTTTCAAACACAGATCCTTTTATAGCTTATTTTAACCATCCAGAGTAAGGACACTTGCAGAAGGATGTACAATATATCTTTTTTCTTACTATACTGTTTTCCTCCCTTCATTTTTTTTTAGGCATTATATGTAAATTTTGCCTCTTTTCCTATAGGCTTTTTTACACATATTTTGCAAAAAAAAAATTTTTCATATGTTTCTTTCTAGATATTTTATTTCTTTTCTACTATGCTTTTTCAGCCCTCCTCAGCCATGTGCTGCAAGTCTGTTGCTTTTTACTCTATCTTTTTTGGCTCCAGATTATTTCTTCATCCCTCTCTTTTCCTGTTCTGATTTGGAGAAAAATTAATTACTTTGTTTGCCTCAAAGTTAATGGATTTTTTGCTCTAGAGACCTTCTCTAGGTGATGAAAAAGGGGAATCAAAATTCCTCACTGTGTAGAAGTTGAGTGCTGATTTGCTTCCAAGTCCCCCAGACTATGGCAGAACCTCATTGTTCTGGTGATGCATGGAGAGTCTTGGGATATCCTGAAGTTTCTGTCATTTTCAAACAATCAGATGGCCTATAAATTTCCTTTAGGAAAGAAAAACTGAGACTGATATTATTACTTTTCTGTCACAATGACACGTGCTTATATCCCATTTTTGAAACAATAAGTTCTTTGACAATGTAATTATAATACTGTCTGCCAAGCTGAAGACAGAGCATTCTTTTTCACTACCAATTCTGCAAATGGCTTTCGTTTTTTATTTCTTGCAGTGTGTGTTAGCAAGCATTATCGTGGTGGGCTTGAAAGGGATGTTAATGCAGTTCCGTGACTTGAAAAAATATTGGAATGTGGATAAAATAGACTGGGTAAGTGAAATTTAATATAAGGAGGTTTTCCTGAAACCCTTTAACAAATACCTGCTAATTAAACTTTAACCATTCTGTGGCCCTAGAAGATATAAGTACAAGGCCTTATTACTCTGTTTTTTTGTGTTCTATTATTTTATTTTCTATTTCAGAAAAACATCATCTGGGATGTCAATTGTATCAAAAAATGGAATTTCATCAAATGATAAAGAATTAAACCTAATTTCATTCTGAAGATGTTTATACAGACAGATCAGGATAATCTGAGCAGCTGTGTGTCTAATTTTGCATGCTGTCTCTAGCTGGTTAGCATGCTTTTGCTACTGTAGTATTATAGAAGACATCCTGGTATCTTTGTCACCTGGGAAAATGGAATGACCATACAGGACAAAGAGAACTGGAAACATTAGAGGTGCAGAAAGATACATGTCCTAGGGTGCTGTAGGTAAATTACCTTAATTCTTCCAGATTTTGCAAACAGAGTATCTATTGTTTGATGATAATGAAAGATTCTGCACTATGAGAGGAGGAATACATCAGAAAAAGCAGATAAATGGAAAATTGGCATAGTATGAAAATCAAGTTTAATGCAAAGTTTGAATAGTCTGACATACATTTGCACAGAATTCCTAGCAAATATGAATGATGAGTCCATGTTTATGAAGACTCCTAGATTTCTCTTCTGAGAGAGTTTTTTAATGTATTGGCCAACTAGTGGAATCAAAACTCCTAAACGCTTACATAAATACATACTGACACCCCATAAAACTTTTTCAACTTTTGTTTATGCAGTTTCAGTTAACAAATATTCAGAAAGGTATTTTGGCCTTCTCCCTCTCTTTTAGGAGGTACAGTTTACTGGAGGTAATACTGGATTTTGTTGAACTCACCAGTGACTTAATATTCTACAGCAGTAATAGTAAGTCTAGACTGGATAAAACTTTTTTTTTTTTTTTTTAATAGAGTACGAGATTTCAGTATGGAAAACATATCTGAGTAAACATCAAGTTTAGCTATGTGAGATTTTTCATATTAGGTCACAAAAGATTGGAGTTACTTTTGTTTTAGTATCATCAAGAAGAAAAGCTGTCTTTCATAAAAACTTATGTTCCTCAAGCCGAAAAATTTTGAAAATATTTGCTACCACTTGGACAGTATTTAGTCTTCACCCATATTAGCAGTGAGCAAAATGGTGAATTATGTGTAGCAAGAATTATTCTGGGGACAGTGGACTTAAGAAAATCAGTTGTCATGGGAGAGAGATATAGCTTCTCAACAGTGCATTGTGATAATAGGTAGTTAAGTTTTCCAGCAGGATATTCTAAAATCTCACTAGACTAGACACTGATTTTTTGCTTTTGCGACTTTGGCAGAGAAGGTTAAGTGAGTAGTTACTTATTACATCTCTGACATCTGCCAGTATTTCTAAGAGAGGTTATAGAGAGGGAGAGTTTGCTGGGTTTATCTTTTTGACTGAACACACTTGAACAAGACTTTATCTCCAAGTAGTTATACCATGAGTCCTTAGCCTGACAGTAAATCATCTTGCTTTAAACAGCACAGTCTAAAGTAAGGCTAAAAACGTTCATCTTTGCTGCCTGGTCTGAGGAGCCCCACCAAGCCCAGTGGAACTACGCTGGTGTTGACTTTGGCCTGAAAAGATTCACCCCAGCAATTGACAGCACACTGGAAATTAACCAGTTCCATTACCCAGGTTATCCAAAGTGTTCTGAAGATAGAAACTCTAACAAAACATTTGGAAATAATTAGCAGCTGTCCTTTCTGGAACTCATTCTTCGAAGGGCGTGTGTCATGTAACATAGAAGTCAGGTTTATTATGCTCATAGGTCTGGCAAACGAAGAGTGCATGGAAGCAGAATATTATGGGTTTTGTTACCTTGTTCCTTTGCGCTTCTTTAAGCTCCTCATTAAACACAAATGGAATGAGTAATATTTAGTTGTTGATTATTTCTTTATAAAACATAATCCTGTTAAACATAAAAGGTACAGCTTGAAAGCTGTAGCTCAGGAGTTGAACTCCTCATGGGTTCCTTCCGACTCAGGATATTCTGTGAGTCTGTGAAATCTCTCCTTTCAGACATGGATGGCTTCTTCTTGCAGATTGAATATTTAGGAGCAGCTCAGCTCAAAGGAACAACTAGGCTGACAGACCTAAGTAGCTAATACTAAATATTATCAGCTGAATATTATTATGTATATTTTTTTCAGTTTTCATTCAATTTGTTTTTTATCAACCATCAGGAATGTCCTGTTTTTACATCCTCCCTCTCCAATCACATTCAATTTCTTTCCAGCTAGAGCCCCACCGTCCTCGGTCCAAAGAGTCCTTTCCTGCCGTTCTCAGCAGTCGTATGAACCTCAAAGGTCTCTTGCTTCAGTTAAGGGCCCCACACCTTCTTCGATGGCTTCAATCATTTCAGATCAATAATTGCTCTATTCCGCTATGTATGTTGAATACATAACTGTATGCATAACAGTATTTGTCCTCCCTCTGCTGTCTTCATCTTTGGCTGTTTCCAAGGTGTTGATTCCTGTGTTGTCTGTGTTTTGTATGTTAATCTGACAACCATTTGTCTTGATTTTTTGCCTGTTTTTGGAGAACTACCAGGAAGTTGATCCAGAATTCTTCTGTAAGGACTTTTTAGGTCCTCAGATCAAAAGTTGATTTCCATATTCTTCCTGAAAGCCTAAGTCCTTATGCAGGCCTACTTCTTGATTAACTTCCCTTTTTTATTCTCCAGCCTGACAGTGCACTTTCCTAATACCAACAAAAAGAGAGTGAAGTGCTTGCTAACTCTTATTTTTAAGGCTGAGCATCCCAGATGATCTGCAGCCATTTAAACTAGACAAAGACTACTGCCTGGTAGTGGACTGCTGAAGAAAATTGTTCTTTTTCCTGTTAAAAGTTGGACTTGAAAGGGACAAAGGATGGGTAAAAAGTATGTCAGAAGGTGACCCTCTAATTGAAAAATGGCAATAGAACAAGGATCATAGTTAACTATAGATCAAGGATTTAGGGTATTCAACAAATAAATACTATGGCATTTAAAGAGAAAATAATGTTAAAAATTGTACAAACGACTTTGCCATGAAATGACCACAGCTGAGGCAGAGCTAAGTTGTATGTCTGAGTTGTAAAGCAGAAAAAATGGCAAAAATTTATTGTAAAAATTACACATTCCTGCATGGTGCTGTAAGGAAGAGGTAGTTATGGATGTATGAATTGTAACTATATGCACGTATCTTAATATATAAGGGTGTAAAGAATGCTACTGCTTCAGTAATTAAAGTAGATGCAACAAGGAGGTCCTCACTTTTGTCAACTACCCTTCAAGATCTTGCCAGTATGAGCTTTCCAAGACTCATGCTTTCCAAGACATGGAGACACCACCCTGTCACTTTATTTTTACAAAATAAACTGGAGTGGGGGGCCATGGGAGGATCTTCTGTGGAATTTTTGAGTTCTCTGGTGCAATTTCATGTATTTTTAGAACTTCTGAACATATTATCTTCAGGAGATAGATGAACTTTAAGATTTGTTCAGGTATGCACCACACAGGGGCCCTGATTCATGAGAAAGTACTGAGGGCTTTGCTCTATAAACAATTTTTCAAAGAGTAATCAGCCATCTTTTCTATGATAAAAATTTTACATGAACTCTTCTGTCTTATGACATGCCAGGGAGATTGTCTATCTTTCCCGCATTAGTGAATATGCTACCCTGAGTTACATTAGTTTTGCTGTAGTTAGTCTCAGTGGGGCGGAAAGGAATTTACAAATGCTTAATCCATTGAAAGTGTGATAGCCATATAAATTCCATTTAAAGAATAATATTTATATCAGTCCATCTGTGTCCAGCACAGTCTGTGCAAACAAATACCTTCTCAATCATTGCGTATGGAATGCTTGTGAAAAATTATATCAGAGAGCTACCATACCACTATTAAGCAGTTTCTATTTTATGGCTGTAGTGGTCTTCAGCACTTGAATTGTAAGTTTTGATGAAGGGTGCCCTGAGGACATATGCACACATCAGTCATTTGTCTGCAGAAGGACATTGGAACATGGGCATGCTACGCAGCCTCCCTGCAGGCAGAGACTCCTCCTGGACTCCAGCATCTTCTTTGCTGAGGCACCCCTTGAATTAAAAGGACTTGAATAAGACTCTTCTGGCTACGTGCTGGTGACTGCAGCAAGGGCTTCTATATCTGAGCAAGTCATTGTAGCCTCTCATTATAGACAGTATAGAGCTTGTCATTCAAGTCATGTTAGGGTGTGAGTCACCTCTTCCTGAAGTAGGCAGCAGCTTTTTTTTCCTCATCAAATTCCCATTTCATGGTTCACTCAATGGTGGATGGGTAGACCTCTTAGGATGAAAAGGTGCATGTGGAAACACACCACCCACATTTTCGGAGGCAGCAGATTTATACTTCTCAATGCTTCTGATACTTTCTGATACACTCAGAATTCAACATAAATCCATATCTCCTACTTGTTTTTTTCTCCCCCTTTATATATATGTTTATTTTAGTTAATACAGTACAAGCTTATTTTAAAATTGGATTTTGATGACTTTTGAGAATAACATGTGCCTATAATAAATTATTGCTAAGATTTGAAGAATGAGGAGATCCTATCTGTCCTGGAGTATACAATAACCATCTTAAAGTAAGTTGCCAAAGAAAACTTTCATATTTTTATGACTTCTGTGTTGAACCTTATGACAACCCAGGAATTAAAAGAAATCTATCAGACCAACATAATTTCTTTCTACAAAATTGATGCTACCCTACCCAAAAAAGTACTGACTCCAGGCCAATACAAAGCGCTGAAAGGGTGATGGACAGATGTGAATATGATTGCTTTGGCTCATCCTCCGCAACAATGGCAGTCACTAGTTACAGTTAAGATGGGAGATAATAGTTGGCTTACTATTCAGCAGTACTTAAAATATTTTTGGCTTTGATTCTTGCTGTGTAGACTTGGTATTGGGTTTTCATGTTCTTTTCTTCTGGGACAGAAGAATTTTGCAGGCTTGCAGCTGTGATTCAGGTAGAAGTGATGAGGTTTAGGTCTGCAGCTGAAGTAGGTTGCTTGATCTCAGGTGTCAAGGGCTCAGCCTTATCAGGATGGGCTAACTCGTGATCCTGCCTGAATTCCAGGTTTATAGTACTTCTGTTAGTCCTTTTATGTCCAGCGAGCCTCTTTATAAATATATATTGGATTTGTACATCTTAGGATTACTTTCTCATTGATTAATAGGAATTTAGTTCTTATTGCTTGTAAAATATTTGCAAATATATGCACAACAATTTGTATAAGATGTCATAAAATATAACTGAGGGTTGAGCACTGTTTCAAAGAATGAATGACCTCTTTACTTAGCAGCTGTGCCGTTGAAGAGACTGCAAAACCTTTTGCAGTAGTTTAAAGTTTTGAAGATAAGGGAGGAAAAGTTTTCTCAGTAGAGTCATGTAACACTGCATCCTCTGTGAAGCACAAATTGGTATGGTATAACTTACATTTTATAATTAATAAAATAACAGTTCTGAAATCTGCTTGAGCAAAATTCCTGTGGTTAGGCTGAAAGTATTCTATTGTCTCTGGCTTTCCTGAACTAAGTGAAAGCATCAGAAAGGATAATTTTAACACTGATTGTGTCATTGTAATGTGATCTGTTCCTCTGCAGACATTAACAAGAAGCACTGTAATTGTTGAAATGGGCACCTGTGGAGATCAGTATATCCAGAGGAGTGAAAATACTTTCCATTCTTCTTTAAAACATTTTCTGTAAAGATTAGGTAGCAATCTTTGCTTAAGGGTCCCTCAAGAAAAGAAATATGGGCTAACATTAGGTTCATACAAGAAATCAAGTAATTTGTACTTTTCTCCTTTTAATTGTAAAATCTGTCTCTCTCTCAATCATACACATCATTGTAGTATGGAAATATAAGTGACATAGATAAGTTTCTGTTTAAAAAAAATTAAGAAAAAAATTTGCAACGTTCAAAACTTTTGGGATTTTAATATTTTAAATTCCTTCCCAAAGTCACTTTTGTTTCAGATATGCTTCTTTCTAATTTTAAATTGTAATTTAAAATTAATCCAAAACTTTATTAATGAAATATGGAAAGATGGGGAGGTAATCTGAAATCTCACCTTTTCCATGTGAAGAAATTGATTCCACAATAATTTTTAGTTGTTATCGACTTGCTTTAGTCAGTCATACTCTGATAAATGCCACCCTTAATTAATCTCCTTGCAAATTGTAGTTTCCACTTATACAATTAGTGGGAGAAGAGCTCTCTGTACATGACCTTTAGGGTACCTCATTGTGTAAAAAGAAAGAAGTATTTTAAATGTCTGCAGTGAAGAAGGTGACAAATGGTTGCAATGTGAAAACATAAAATATAGGTTTTACAAAACAACTGAGTTAATTCTGAATTATGCTGTTAGTGCAACCACATATGCTATTTTAAGTAACTCTGAAAGGAACCTGTGTGAGCACTGGGGTGAGTAGTGCTATGTCATATATGTGCTCCTGTGAGTAGACATTATTTTAATTGCTAATTCAGCCTTCAATATTTTCCAGTTCAAAGAATCAAATGTTCAACTCTGAGAAACTATGTTTGTTTTAAAAATTTTTATTTCTGATTCACAGAATGTACATTGCTACAAACATTAAAACTAATCCTCAATTTTTGTTTTCCCTCTTAAAGATCATATGGGTTAGCACTTACATCTTTACAATATGCTTTGCTGCTAACGTGGGACTGTTGTATGGCGTTGTCTGCACTATAGTAATTGTGATTTTCCGCTTTCCCAGGTGAGAAGTAACTTATTTAAATGTTCTAGTAGGACATCATTATGTCTTCTTTCAGGCACATTGCTTCACCATCAGGGTAGACATGCAGAACACTAAATTTCACAATGAAACTTCAGATTTTTTGTTGCAGAAAATTACAAGGTAAGACAAGTCAAAAGGAAAAGTCACACATGTGCATTTACTGTAGGCTAAGGATCTCGAGAACATTCCACACTATCGGATTATTTTGTGACATCTCTTAGTATTACACATCTCTAAGGCTCACTACGTGAAGGTAGCGTAAGATAACAAAAAAATCAATAATTTTTTTTCCATTAGATACTTATTTGTTCATCATGCAGAATGTATGTCTGACAAGCCCTACTAACAAAATCCTTATATAAATTCCTAGATACTATGTTTCACAGGACTTGATAATTGCCATTTATACTGTTAATATATATTAATGAAGCACAACTGCAAAATTTTCCTAATGCCTAGTGAAAAGTAGATTATAATTTCTATGTATGATTTAGAAATCCAGGACAAATAAACTGGAGCTAATACAAATTTACATATTCTTTTTCATATATTACAGTTGCTACTTTGGATCATGTGTAAAGGAAAATATCAGTTCAGGTTCATGATCCTTTTGTGCCACCAAGTCAATCCATAGCTCACCAGTCTGGCAAATGAGTTGCTGCTCACAGACAGTTGTTTGGGTGAACATTGAATCCCACTGAAATGAAGCACAATATAGACAGCATGATTTAATCCTTCTTACAGTTTTTGGTGTTAACCACTTGTGCACAGCTGTATTCTCATAGAATAAGTTGCAGCAGAAGTGTGAAAATAGCTGAAAATTGTAAGGCAATTTCAAATTATGGAAGACAGTTTGTGCTTGAATCAATCAGCACCTTTTTGGTAAACTTCTGCTACTCAGCAAACTAATATTTTGGTAAATTCTAGCAAGGGAGGAAAAGGTAAGTTTTCATGTTGTTTACGCCCTGTGCCTGGATGTCTGAGATTCTGTCACAGCAGAAAGGGAGAGATACCTGACACAAGATAGCATGGCCTTCTGTTGTCTGATCTAACAGAGAGCTGAGTCTGAACCTGCACTTAATTAGTATGTAAATAAGACTCTTGCTGGTGATTTCTGTGCTCTTCAGTCAGGCTGCACATGATTGCCCATGCAATCTAAAGGCACTGAACAAGCTAACAGCCTTACAAACTGCTGTGGAGGAGTGGTTAGCAAGAGAACATGCAGTAAGACACCCAGTTGTGGGCAAAAGTGTCAGCAAGAAAAATACTGTAGATGATTTATTGTGAAGTTTCTGCTCAGATGCCAGAGTGCTGGACATGGTACATGTTATGTATCGGAACGTATTAAAACGAGCAGCAGCTACAGCTCAATTTACACACACAGGAGAGGACATCTGACTTCTGCAAGCCTCATTTAGCCAACACCAGTACCTGCAAATACTCGTGCACATTGCTACATCTATTAAATGTTTGTATTCTGGGATTATTTTCCTAGTTTTAGGTACAAAGCTCGGGTGTTAGCTGCTCTCATACTCTTCTTGTTTTTCCTGCAAGTGATGTGCTGAAGCAGAAGGTTGTACGCTGATTTGCCTTTTCAAGGAAACCTTCTCTTTTCAGTGACCATGCAGAGACCACAGGGATACTGGCTTTTCCAGTTGAGGTCCCCACTTTGATAGCTAGAGTGAAATATGCTGCTTCATCATACAGTGGTACATCAAATTTAATGACAAATAAAACATCCTTGGTTTTCATTACCCATAGCTATTCAATATATTTTTTTTCCTTACCTACAATATGATTTTGCAGGTAAAAATATTAATTAAACCTCTATACTTTCAAAGTTGGAGATTATATGTTAGCTACCTTGACTTGAGAATAGCTCTCTAACCAGCTACAAAACAGTAACAAAATTTAAAATTATGATTCTAACAAATATCACAATTATTCATATTTGAATAAAAAGTTCTATCAAATTTTTGCAGTGATATACTATAATTTTAAAATGTGATTTTTACTCTTAATTAGATCATTATCACAAAAACTTATGTTTATATGCACAAAAATATGTATGGATTGCATCATTGCAGCTTTAAACTTGTACACCATAGTTTTGGGGTGTGTTGTGTTCTGCTTCTGTTCAAGACTGCTGATCATTTGCCTTACCGATTTTTCTCTGTGTATTGGTTACAGAGCAAAGACACTGAATCTGAAAAATGTGAAAGAAGTGGAATATAGATACAAACCAGAAGATAACTGTGTAAGTTAAATGAGCTTTTGTATGTGTGTGTTCCACTATTTCCAGTTTGTTTATTTTCCCTAGTTGGTAACCACATTGTAATCAGTGAGTCAAGGGAACTTTTTTATGAAATGACCACTTGAAATGAAAAGCCAGTATGACATAGTAAATATAACACTAGCCTGGGCATCAGAACTTGGAATATTAACTATCTTAGTTTATTTTTTACTTTTAAGTTAGTAATTGCTCTCTGTAACAACTTCTGAAGGCTAAGAAAATCTCATGGCAAGAAGGTCAGGACCCATCTGAGCAAACAATAGCTGTCTCTATATCCTTATCAGATTTCCTCATTTCCTAAAAGCCCTTTGGTACTCTCATCACCCACAAACTCTTTTCTGACCCCATTTTTGCCACCAGCCCCTTGTGATGGGACTGTCCTAGAGGACACCATGTGTGGCTGGGGAAGGAGGGACATCCACATGAAGCTGTCACTGCTTCACACATCTGTAGTCAAACAAGGGTTTCCTCACATGAAAAATGGATGTAAGAATCTCTCCAAAAGACTGTGCTTTTAAAATATGGCTTCTTACAACCTTAAACCTACCAGTCAGAGATTTTAAATTCTTTCGGTTATTTTCATTGCAATTATCATCCAAGTTGCTTGTGCTCAGGCCCATGGTAAGAAGGGAAAGGTAATGACCCAGAGAGGTGAACTCTCTCCTCTGAGATGCAACGGTAGGTCAGCAGCCAACAGAGAAGTAGAACCATGTGTCCTCTCAGCACAGAGCCCCGTCACCAGGACATCCTGCCTTCCCCACTGTGGCAGTTTCCACTATGTCCTCTTTCATTTCCTAATGCTTATGATGAGTCTTATGTATCAGTAAGCAACATGCTCAGCAGTTCTTACCTCACTACTAAGAAGCCCTCCTCAAAAGAATTTGTTTTATTCTGGCAAATGTTTTCCATCTGAGTGATCTTGGGGTCAAAATCTGAACTTGGCTCAGGGTGGTTTACTGTTTTGGCATGCTGAACAATGCTGGAATGTGAAAGGTACATGAGAATGGGGAGAGCTCTGCAATGTGAATTAAAAACACTGTTGTTGAGGCTGGTCCAGCTGTCAATTATTATATCACTTTTCATTCTTAAGAAAAAATTTGGAGTAACTCTGTCAGAGATGGGTAACCATAATTTGATTTGCTTGCTTTTTTTCATATCAGTTCATAAAATATTTTGTACAAATCCCTATACATCTTTTTTTTTTAAGATAGCTGCCCCCCTGCTTTTATTTTCCTTGATCATTAAGATTAATGCCAGTGACCAAGTAATAACAAACTAGTGTCTGCAGACAGCGGGGAAAATAACATTTTTTAAGAAAGTAAGTTGCTCAAGAGCTTATTACACAAAACAAAGAAGGAAAATATTTTTAAGATTTAGAAAAATGCCTTTAATTGAATTTAGAGTCAGTGGGTTGCAGCAGGCATGTAGGGTAATTTTTAATGTATGAATGTAAGCCTGATCCAAGTTCCCCTGGTAAATAACAGCTTAGACATAAACAACAGGACTTTTAAACATGAAAATATGCAAGTTCAATGACCTACCCTGCCATTAAGGTCTGTGGATTTATAGAGGTTATTTCATCAACAGGAAAAAAGACACTATAATGTGGAAAAAATCAAGAGGTTATTTAGAAGCTTATGTGAAACACATTGCATCACAGACCTTCCCTGAACTGAATTCTTACCCTAGTGTAAACAGAACTGTGCAGAGTGCACGGGGCAATTGCCGATATCCTTCTAATGACAGTGGGGATAGGCCAGCAGAGATAATTTTCTTCTTTACTTGTTAAGGACACAACAAAGAGAAAGCCCATTTTTTTCTCAGAATAGTTCTTATTAAGAAAGGAGCTAGAACCAAACCAGAGACAGAAAAAACCGAGCCAAATTTGGCACAGATGTCCTTGCCCATCCTGGTCAAAAGATTGTACGTAAGTCTAGGTCTTCCTCATTTGGGCTTATGAATTGACCCTTTCCAATTTTCTACCTTGTATTTTTGGAAGCTTATTAGCTTGATGATCATCACAGGCTTTGATCTTTGCACAGCAGTCTTCCTTTTTCTTAGTTTTCATCTTCCACTTTGCTCATTCCGTTATGGCAACAAGGTACTCACTTCTCTCCACATCAAGCTGTGTATAGCTTGTATATTCCCCTTGTTTTTAAGGGAATTTGTAGGATGTTGGAGTATTTCTTCATCCAAGCATATATTTCCCTCTGTTTTGCCCTTAGTTTAGAGTTTTCTTTCATATAATCTTAGCAGTTTTAATTGCCAGTGAGGCCTTGCCACTTGGCGGACTGAGGTATGTTGGTGATGTCCTATTTACCACAATCACATTCGTAGGTAAATTGTGCAAATTTCCTATACATAGTCTGGGGTTCATTGCTTCAGTTTTGGATGTCTGAAATATTTCCTTAGCTTTTATGATGGTCACTGTGGTGGTGTCTGAGAGATTGTCTGGTTCCCAAAAGTCTGAATAGCAGGCAGGAGGTAGTTTGTGTGGTTTGCGGGGAAGATTTCCATTTCTGTTTTTCTTGAAGGCCTCTTGGGAAAACAGCGTGTCTTCAATGCAATCCCATGTTTTTTTGAGCTACTTAAAAAATTGTCTCTGTGTCAGCTCCACTTACCAGCTACATATTTCTGACTTTTGTTAAAAAGAATAGCAGCTTTTTGAACCTGTATTCTCTTGCGAATTCTTGGTATTTACTTTCTGCTACCCATAGGTACAAGTAGTTCATTTTTGGGAGATGATGCTCACATAAATCAGATATTTTATTTCAGTAGTAAATGGATATTTTCTGTATCCAGACCCCTTTTTGGACTTAGTGATAGATGCTTTATTGCATATAGCAGTTTTGTGGACTGAAATCCTTTTGGAGAACTTCTCGGAATTGGATCTGTTGATTTGCCCTCACGGTCTGCTGCTGACCTGCTGGTGGTGTCTGTTGCAGTTTTTGCCCATTAAAATCAGCAGAATGGTGTGTCTCATTCTGTTTTCATTCTTCCAAAGTGGGCAAAGTTTCATATGAGACTGTTGACACTGACACTTGGTGATAGCATGTTTTGCATGTGAAAATACCTAGGGGTAATTGTTGCCGTTCAGGGTTCAGGTGGTGGGAAATTCAAGGATCCTCTTTTCCTCTCCCTTGGAATAAGAACACTGTGAACATCCACATGTAACCTAGAGATTCTCAGCTTCCATAAAAGACATGCTTGAAAGGCAAATTAATGCTATTACTTTTTTTTTTGACAGCTGTCACTTAAGAGCAGTGGTATTGTGGCTATTTAAAATTGTGTAGTGGCATGCATGCTTCTCAGATAGGAAAAGTAGAAAATGCTACTGAAAATATTGGTAACTTTTACAGGCCGCACATGCTCCTGCTTATTCCTGTTTACAGCACTAGATGCATAAAAGCTTAATACAGTTATTTATTGGAATGTACATAAAGAACTTTATAAGTAGATGTAATATCTTTTACTAGAGCATATAGTGTAACTGGAAAAAGCAGGAAAGAGACTTTTCCTCAAGTCTGAAATAGAAGCAGCAGATGTTAAAGGAGCTGTGCTCCACATTGAATTTGGTTTGTCTCAGACCTGATTTTCCTAAGGAAAAGAGAGACATAGCTCACAACCTGTGTAAAATGGAGACCTCAGTAGAAATAGTTTAATTCTACCTACCTACAAAGCGAGTATTTTAGCTGAGCTTGTGATTGCTGACATTCAATATATTTATGCATAAATATTAATTTTCTAACTGGCTTTTGAATATTTTTTTAATAAGTCCACCTTGAGAATGACAGAAACGGTTCTTATTTTGTAGGAAACGTTCCCCACTGATACCTGGGGGTTTCTGACCTTTATCTGATGTCCTTCAGAAATCCTTCTCCTTGTAACATCTGTGTTTTGGGCTACACAGTTTTATTGAAGGTACCAGGTGAACTGGTTGAAAGTTATTCAAGGAAGTGCAGAGACAGGATTGGGGGCAGCTGATGGTTCTCATGTAGATTATTTATTGTGATGATTGTAGATATGTACTGGCAAAGTTTTAAAGTGGATGCCCCACCCCTGGCTGTCTTCAAGGCCAGGCTGGATGAGGCTTTGAGCAACCTGGTCTAGTGGAAGGTGTTCCTGCCCATGGCAGGGGGATTGGAACTAGATGGTCTTTAAGGTCCTTTCCAACCCAAACCATTCTATGGTTCTATGATTTTAATTATGTTGCTCAAGTCTGGGCTGGATCCACTAAGTATTTCCATGGACAAATATCCCTCTTGAACTAAAGTCATCTTCAGATGACCAAGATGAATATTTTCAGCATTGCCGAAACCACCTGCAGTGTATGCCCCACAACCTTCTGTACTTTTTCCAACATGTGTTTGTCTGATAAAAGATATTCCCTGTCTGCAAACCTTGTCTTGCCTATGTTTGGGGATCTTACCAACTGAAAAAGTGATACTACTATTTGCCAGATAATAGTTCTTAGTATTATGCATCGTAATGATATGAATTATCTTCCATGGTAACTTGAATTAAGGATAATTTTCTTTATAATTTACTTATATTCCTTTTTTTTTTTACTTCAGTTGTGTGAAGACTGATCAAGACAGTTATCTGTTAAATCATTCTTATTCCGTCTAGGCTGATTTACAGAAATTTTCAGGGTTTTTAAAGAAACTAGTTTGGTTTTTAGTCTACAAACCCAAGATAAACTTTTCAGTACTTTGTTTATTTCATTCTGCAGGAATCATTAAAACAGGTAAAGATAGTTTCAGTCAACAATCCGTTAATCTTTCTGAATGCAAAAAAATTTCACGCTGACCTGATAAAGATAATCCAGAAGGATGCCACGAACAGCCAGGCATGTGAAGATGTAAACAAGGTAGGATGTGGTGTTGAAGATTATGATTGCTTTCCTTGCATTTCTTAGAGAATACAATCAGGTACTGAAACAGATATAAAAAGCAATGTTGCAAATGATGAATTTAGAATAAAGTTGATCCTTATCTTAATCAGATTCGATATGTATTATATTCTTCTTATTAACTGAAAATAATACTTGTACTATTTCTGTATATGATAGTGTAAGAGACATTAAAGCACGTATCCAAAACTATTCAAAATTTCTGGCAGAACTTAAATAACCTCAGCTAATATAATGTTGCGATTTTAAAAAGACAATGAGCAGCTACAAATCTACTTGAATAAAATATGGGGTTTTTTTGATGGAGATGAATCCACAAGCGATAGACACTTTGTTTCTGTTTCTGACTATAAATAATTCCAGGATAATTAAGAAGCACGTTCAAACTGGCTAAAGTTTTTCTCAAGGGTAGTGTGTCTTTTTCATTTTCTGCACTGATTGTATGTAAAAAATAAACTGTATACAAATCATGTATTACTCAGTTTGGGAGAAAATCTCCATAAGTATAGTATTTTTTTCATTTTATCTGCACAAAAATTCTTCAACTTCCTACAACGCTTCCTGAAAGGGAAAAAAATATTGTATTGTTTTTCTAACATCACTATGAAGACATTCCAATACCATACAGTGCTTGCTATAGGCAATTTTATACTGTTTGGCAAATTGGGTTGAGAAAATCACAGACATTTCTTAGATGGGTTAAAACACTGTTCAGCAATGTGTGTCTATCACCTCTGCTGTCTCTTGCCAAAAGTTTTGTTACCCACACTTACTTTGATGCGTGGCTTCTCCACATTGTTCAGAAATTCAGCTCAGAAATGGTGCTGCTTTTTCCCTCAGTTCTGGTAGGCTAATTGATTTGGATTAGTATGATACCAAAGCCCCAAACAGAGAGAAATTACAGAGGATTTGCATGGAATTAATTTATGAGTTAATTTAATAAGTGTAATAAGTTAATAAGTTAATTTAATAGGTTAATTTATAAGTTACATAGGAGGGAGATTTTATCCTTTCTCTCTTCTGTAAGGTACTTGGCAGTACAGCTGCCTGAAATACTGTGCATGATGTTATTTTGTGGAATAAAGGTCTTTCTGTAGCACACAATGGGAGTGAAAGAATTGCACTTTGGATTTTATTTTTGTGCTGTATTTCTGATTTTAACTCATATTTCTACTGAGAACTTATTATTCATACTGAAAGCATTATTTAAAAGAATAGTACAGATAAAAGTAATTATTTAATAAATTTGCGTGTCAAAAATGTTCTCATTAAAATATTAGTGTAGCAGATGAGACTGCAGTATGTAGAAAATTAATTAAAAGTTAATCTTACAAAATCAACAGCTAGAATTTATCTTTTCAAGAACATATTTCCCACCTTTTGACCACTTCTTACCCATCCTCTGCATCCCCAAAAGCATGTTCTTCATAACATGCTTTCCAGTGAATCCAAACATGACAGAGGTTGAGTTATCTAAAAAGAAAAACAAGGTATCAGTTTGGTATCGCTTTAAAAGAATACTGAGACATAGTCAGCAAATAGTATATATATGCAATAGGCTGTCACATACAACATGATTATGGAGAGTATGGAGAGAAGGAGTTAACTTTGATATTAAGAAACAGCATTCTTATGTACTGCATTGATTTTCTCTGGTTACTATGCATAGGACCACTTTTCCTTGGTATGTTTATAGTTTGCTTCTTTTATTTCAGTGTGAGCAGAACATGTTGCTCTGTTCATTTTCCAATGGAAGTTGTCATGGTGAGTTTACTATCTATGAATGATATTACAAACAAGATGGATATAAGTGTGTAAAATGGCTCACACTTTTTATTTCTAGGTGAACTCAAGTTGTCTGGAAACTAATGTTTTTAGTCAGACCACACGTTCAGTGATGCAAGAGTCCTAAACAGTGTTAAACTCTGTTAACTTTGTCCTAACAGGTCTTATTTTTATTCTCTTCTTTACTGACTTTTTAAGATATCAAAAGCAGGGAAACAATGAAAATACCTTTTCTGCAGGAGTCCATGCTTATTTCTCATGAACCGCTGCATTCATACTGAGGGAGGTATACAGCCGGGGGGGACTGCTTCCCACGTTACTGCCTGGACTGGTCTTCAGACAAAGGCCTAAGGGGCTGTTTTGCTAAGCTCTGGTCTTATTTTGCATTCACAGTGGGACTTCAATATTAGTAAGCAAAAGTACAAATAGGATAAGATCAGAGCCATGCAAAATCTCTGTCGTCTTTAAAGCCACTTAGGAGAAAATCTCAGAAAACATCAGCAGAATTAACAGTGACATTATGGCCACCACTATTGTACAGTATATCAATATGGTATAGAATAAAGAAAAAAATGAGGTGTTTGCTTTCATTTAAGGATTAGACTGGACAATTCCACTCTTCCCACATTTTATAACTTTTAAACCAGAACACATACATTCCCTTGGGAGAGGTGCTGCAAACTTCTGCAGAAGATACTTTATACAGATGACTTCATTGTGGATGGAATTAAATATTGTGTTTATTTAAAATGCTTATAAGCATTAAGGCCACTGTAGACAATCTGATTTGGGGGCTGTTGTCTGAATGTTTACATTTATGAACTAGTCTCATGACGTTTTTATGATACTACAGTGTTTAGTTGACTTGGGAGTGACAGAGTGCTTTGCTGTAGCACTTAGCAATGATAACAGCTACTGAAGAATATACAGCACTACCCTGTAAAATACTAAAAGACAGTAACGCACTTTATATGTGAGGAGATTTTTGGAAGGTCTTGGCAGTACATATTTCAGTCTTCTTTTGGATGGATTGGTTTCTCATGTAGCAGAAGTGACAGACAGCACAAGACCTCTTTTCTGATTGCTAAAGTCCTGTCTTGAAGACTTAAATGCTCTGTCATTCTTTGCACCAAGAAGTCTGTGGTGACTCTTCATGGGAGCTTTAAAATAAAAAACAGAGAAAAAAAAAGAAAAATCCCTATGAAGAGGAAGACAAAACGGACGGCTTAACTTTTTAGGAAGGAGGACAGCAGGAAGACATGATCTTTAATCCTTATAGCATTTGTCCTGGGGGATTCAGCAATGTACATCTCTGTCAAAATCTTTTCTTTCTCCCTCTGAGGAATACGGATTTGCCATTGGCCTGTATCAGCACCAAATTAAACAGCTGCTATTGCCCTCACCCCCTGGTTCAGAGAGGGGCAGGTCTGTACCTAGTTCCTGCCTCTACTGCAATGCAGGGTGCCAGTAGGGTGGGAAGATGGAATCATAGAATCATAGAAACATGGAATGGTTTGGGTTGGAAGGGACCTTAAAGACCATCAAGTTCCACCCCCCCTGCCATGGGCAGGGACGCCTTCCACTAGACCAGGTTGCTCAAAGCCTCATCCAGCCTGGCCTTGAACACTTCCAGGGATGGAGTATCCACAGTTTCTCAGGGCAACCTGTTCCAGTGCTTTATGGATCT